AAAAAATGTATGTTCTCTGCTCCAGCCAAAACTTGCAGGTACCTTGTAGGTCTCTAGATTGCACCATCGTATTGTTGTTTATTTCTCAGTTATTTTGTTGCTTTTTGAGAATGATGATCCATAGACCTTTCAACCCCTCTTCGTTAAGGCCACATGCCGAATCTTAAAAGAAGAACACAACAACATAAAAATATATTAATATCCTTTGGACTGGGTAACCTTATGCTTATGTCTGTGCCAAAAAATACAAATACATACCAGTACATTTCAGTAGCAAACAAGCAAGAAAGTTCTTTGAAAGAACCAGGATGAGTTGAAAGGTATTTATAGTGGTTGACCATCTCTGCCACAAGAATCCACTGCTTCTCCTGAAGAATCCTGACTAGCAGGATGATGTTGAACACCCTCCTCTTTGTTGCTGGGTCAGCAGAGTCTGAAATATATTTATGAAAAGAAAGTTGTATAACAAGGATTATACGTCAACTTTTAAAGAATCAACACTGACAGAAGTCTAGTGTACATACCATGCAATATGACGAAGACATCCACATCACTTCTTCTTTTTGTTGTCTTTGCTTCTGCTACTGAAAAAAAATGACAGTAATAGTAACACAATTTTTCATGACTACATGTAATATTAATAAGAATTTCCTCACCCTCTGCCCACTCCTCTACATCACAGACCAAAGTCTTCCAACTGGTTTCCGGTCACTGCCAGTTTCATGGATTCTGTTTTGCAACTTGCTTTGCAGAGCTGTTGCGGTCTACAATGATAAGCAATAAAAAAATCACAATACTATTTAAATAGGTTACTGAACATCTAAAACAAATTCTACTGGATATCGTTACCTTCTGATATCAACAGGTCAGCGAGATGGCCAAATTGTTGAATATCTGCTAATTCCAGCACATGACCATGAGAGTTACAGTAGCATGTCTGGTCACTGCAATCCTAGAGAAGAAATATTGCACTGTTCAACCTCCTTCCCAAAAGTAAAACCAGGCATATCCTGGTATGCCTCACTCCATTTCACCTGGTTAACATATACAAACAAACAAACAAACAAACAAACAAATAAATAAATAAGTAAACCAATAAGTTTTGGCATTTACCTGTAGATCAGTTTAAGATAATCACATAGTTCATCTATCTCAGATTTAAACTCATGTGCTTAGGCATGAAACACACTAAAATCATGGGATTAAAGATGGTGCTGAAACTTTGGACAGCTTTTTGCAACTCTTTGGAGGTAGTGTCATTAGTTGATGTAGTCCACAAATCTTCCTGTCAATTCTTAATCCTTAGCTGTAAATAAACCTTCAAAAATGCCAGTGTTTGAAAAAGGAATGAAACAGTACAGAACAAGTGCATAACAGTTTCTATCTTCTAATCTAATTTTCTTAGGTGAACATCACAGAGCTGTTTTCTTGTTAATTTAGATTCAACACATACAGTTTAAAGTACCTCGTGCATTCTTGAAATGGTTATGCTTATGGTTCATATCTACTTAAATTGGCAGTATATCTAGTGTGGAAGCAGAACAGATGAAGGGCTCTTCCTTGCAAATACTATCCACCTTGTATTGCACAGACTCCCACTCAAGAATATCTCAGAAAAATGTCTGCTGAGATCTTAGCAGTCCATTAAAAATAATTATACCAACATCTTTTCCACCAATGGAAAGAATATAAAAAATACTTTAGGATATATTAATACTTGCATGACCAAATCTGAGATAAAAAGGCCATCAGTATGCCTTAGTTTAAATAAAACCAAAATTTTACTCTAGCCCACTGTCACCTAGGTCTACAGATACAGGGACTAATGGAAACAATGAAATACACACTGACAGTCACTGGAGCAAGGCCCTCTCACAGTTGGGAAGATTGGAGTTCCTATGAGCTGTACCAGATAAAAACAACAAAAAAATGTACATTTATAACATTTCTAACTTATCCTAAGACTAGTAGACAAGCAGCATAAGCAGTTCTAATTTCCTAAACCCCAATGTGGGCAGTTGATTGCCTATAAGGTGTCATAAAATCAGACAAAACAAAATACTTTCTGAAAAAGAAAACAAATGGTTGGCCACTATCAACACCCAGAACAATTAGTTTTAAACAGTTAGGCCACAATATTTTGTGAGCTTATGCTGTAGTTTTTTAATGTTTGTCATAAGCAATAGTAATAGTAAAACTAATGCGTTTCTTTCTGTTATTACAATAGTAGTGAAAGAATAAATGCATTTTATCTCATAATAAATGCATTTTATCTCATACAATCACATATGCCTAAACAATGTAGACATTTCATATACATGGAATGAAAAACTTCACTAACCCTTGACTGATTCCAGAGTGGTCTTGGCCTTCCTTACATGGTGGTGCTTTCTGCAGATCACCAAGTTGTCATCAAAACTTGAGCTTATAATTGAGATCTTGATGATAAATCTGAGTATTGAGGAATCACTCATGGTGATAGGCAGAAACAGGCTGAAAGACACAAGAATTAATCAAACAAATATAAATGTGTTAACAGAGATAGAGAGACAAGTGCAATTTAACATATAAACATGGGTAAAGTGATTTTACTTTTTGCTTATTAGAAAACAAAATTGGATTTTTAAAGAAATCTAAAGAACCTGAAAAGAGCAAAGAAAAAATATTCATATCTGAACAGTGAACACCTTATAATGTACACCTGTATATATATATATATATATATATATATATATATATATATATATATATATATATATATATATATATATATATATATATATATAGATAGATAAAGCTATATTTGTGTTTAGTTTTGTGTTGTACAATGAATAAAATGTGCTCAGACGGGAAAAATATCTGCCTTTTTCCTTTAAAGGCATGGAAAATAATTGTTTTTACNATAAACCTTTGGAACCACTTGATGTTCTTTAACATTGAAACAATTACGAATACATTTGTATTATTAGAGACGCAAATTGCANATTATATATAGATTTTGCGCGAATTCTATTGTGGAAAACAACAATCTGGTTACACTGTTCCTTATCTTAAAATGTATATATTGGTCTAATGCATGACCAACGGTATATGTGAGAAAAATATGTTTTTA